AAAATTTTATACCCAACCAAACAGACATTCAAAGAGAAATAGAGCCATCATTTAAAAAAAAAAAAAAAAAATATATATATATATATATATATATATATATGTATATGTATATCCATCCACTAAAGAGTATAATTCTCCAGAGTCCTTAAATAAACTGTGGAAAACAATCTTCAGTTAACCAAGAAAGAAAAAAAGGAACCAGAGCAGTTATGCCCCAATTTATAATCATTATATCTCTCCATTCCCCACACTACGTTCCTCTTTATTCCCTACTTCAGTTAATGTTAGCACAGAATCCAATTGTCTAGCTAGCAGACTGGGACTTATATTAGTCCTGTCTTCTCCCTCATTCCCACATCTAATCAGTCAGTAAAGGCCTGTCAAACTGCAAGGCTTTCTTTCAAATCTTTCCACTACTTTACATCTCTACTGGCAATCCTCAGGTCAGGTATGAGTCACTTTTATCGGGATTATTATAATGAACTCCAGGGTCATTACTGGCTGGCATGGTGCGGGTACTGACCAGTCAAACTAGGTGTCTGTTGTAGGCACTGGTACAGCACACTGGTGCGTATCAGCTGCCTTTTGTCCCTCATCTGCTTGGTCTCCTTGCTCCGATATCCACTTACTTCAATCCAGAATCCATATTATAGCTACTGTGATTTTCTACAGCATACAGTGTATTATCTCACTCCTTGACAAGTTCCTGGACGTTTCCCATTACCTGCTGCATGGTCCTGGCGATACAGTCTAAACTCTCTGGCATAAAGATCCTTTAGGACCTTGCTCCCACCTCATCCGTAAAGTCTCACATTCATTCTCTCTTATTCACTGCCCTACAGCCGCTGTGAACTTGCAGTTTGGTGAAGGCACTATAAGCTCTTTGCTATTCAAGTGTGCGGTCAACAAGTCAAGCGTCATATCTGGAACGGGAATGGAATGCACATTTTCCTAAAAGGCCCTGGTTCTGGTTCTGGAATTACATCTGAGCATCATGAAAGTCCATATGGGATAAGTTCCAGGGCCAAGGGGCAAAGCAACTGACCCAAAAGACTACCAGCCAGAGGCTTCTGCTTCCTCACTTCCTCCCGTTTTGAGATTTCTATGTTTATTAAGCAACCAGCCACTTCACATTATAGACACACTTCATCACTTTTTTTGATTAGTTGACTGACAAGATACTCCCTAAGGAGTGGACTCTCCAAGTGATGGTATTTCCTCTCATTTGTGACAGATTGGCTACCTCTCCCACACGACAAGGCAGAGCTGCCTCTTGGGCTCAGAATCCAATGTACTCATTCACTAATTTAACAGGTATCTGTTAGGCACCTCCGGCACTGAACTTGGTGCTCCACAGGAAGTACTGAGAGTTATAAGGCCCTTGTACTTGCAAGCCTTCAGTCTAAAGTACACAACGAGTGAATACAAATTGTGATAAGAACACAAGCAGAGCTCAGTTAAAGAGTCACTGGGAAGCTTGCATGGTCAGAGTCAGCCAAGACCTCCATAAGTAGAAGATACTTGAACCAGGCCCGAAGGATGAGAGGATGCCAGGCTGCAAAGAGCAAGCTCTTCCCCATGAGAAGATCAAGGGTGAGCTCTGTCCAGGCAGACGGCTTGTCTTCACAGAGAAAAGCAAAACTGCAGTGGGGGCTTTCTCAGAGTCGTGCTCAGAAAGAGCATCTCATCCACTCATGCAAGGGACACAATTTATGTTTTCACGATAATTTGTGTTTTCAAGAACACTCTACCCTTGTAGAGAGAAATGAGATAATCCAATTATGTGTATGCTTGTGAACAGTCTGCTAGAAAATGACATTTAGAATCACATTCACCTAAATGTGCTTTGTGAACTTCCCTTTACAGGTTTTGGTTTGAGACGGCCTTCCCATTTGCAGTGCTCCCTACCAACCTCTGCAAACAAAATTCCTACCATTCTTGGAAGGCTCATCCAGTCCTACCTCCCCCCATGGAACCTTCTCTGACCATTCCAACCCTCTGTGATTGCTGTCTTCTCTGAGCTCCTGCAGCCTTTCTATCTTCCTGTATGAACCATTGCCTATGGATCATTCCCTTCCAGGGGTATCCATCTTGCTCTCTTCTAAGAAGAGATCTAAGATTGGCCTCAAGCCCTTGTGTCCAGCCTCTAGCTCTTCACTGTCTGATGAATCAGTTTTAACATTTATTCAACATGCAGTTTCAAACCTAGGTAGACCACCTACTTACCTACCTCAAGAATTCCATACAACCAAAGACCAACTTGGGCAGTAGGATCCTTTTGAGTATTTATGAAGGAATTCGACCAGATGGATATACAGGTAAATACATAGAGAAAAATGACCTAAAGTCATACATATTCTCTCTTCCAAGTGAACAGCTCAGAAAACTTTCCATGTAAGCAAAAGCTGTAGTAAGATTTCCTCAACCAGAGCTCAGGGACTAGCAGTTACGAGAAAATCCCCAAACTGAAGAACAAGTCCCAAACGAATTTTTTTCACGTCAGGAAAAAAAAAGGCAAAGTTCCAATCATTTTTACAGTACAAAAATTTTATTTTTTGTTAGGATAATTTAAAGTTTAAAACTGAAGTAGACATATTCATTTTACAAACAAGATATTCTTTAATAAGTAAGACCATTAAAAACAGTAAACAAAAAAGCTGTCTTTACAAAAAGCTCTGTGCATAGCAACTTTATACTGTATATAACTGACAAAGCAAAATGATAAAATGAAACTATACAGTTTGAAAATGAGATCTTACTATACAAAAGGTAGAGAAGATAATGGTTTTTAAACCATGCATATTGAAATGTGCAAAGAAAAACTGGAAAAAATATGATGCTATAACAAAAAATGAGATAAATAATGAAGTAAATTGTCCCCTTAAATGGAAAATCTTACACAGCTCCTCTTACAAAGATAGGATAGAATTCGTAGTTACCTATAGAAATACTCGTATTCCAAGTGGCACAAAAATAACCTGGGACTGGAATGACTCAACAGCAAGACTGAAGAGGACAGAGTAGCTTTGTTTTTAATTTATTAGCACACTAAAAATAATCCTTACACACATTTGTACAATTAAATAGATCTGTTGCTGCCAAGGTTCTAGCTGAATGGTCAAGGATGTCTGGTATTTAGTTACACACATTTTTCGGTGTAAAGCTACCAACAAATTCTACAATCAATTTGAAGACAGTACTGCATCATCTTCATGCAAGAGCAAAATTCACAGATTCTAAAAGCAATGCTACTTAAAAAAACATTTCCTTATGTTGGATTGGCTCGAATCCAGGTTGAAACATGCTTAGTTTTGTTCCGCCTTCACTTTGAGACGGTCATGTTTGTATTCTGCATACCCTTCCCCTTTGATCAGATTTCTCATGGGAGAACTTTCTCTCGTGTGTTCCCTGTGTCTCGGTGCCATAAGCCCTGACCACGAAGGACCATCAGCAGTAATTCTAAGCATACCAGGTTTCCAAAACTTTGGATTCTTATGTGCATAGAAATAATATTTGGGTCATATTGAGTAATTCCAGAGTAGTTGAAGACAAATGAGACTGTTGGGGGCTGACTAGCTGTGAACAGGTATCAATGGGACAAACAGAAGGGAGGTGGAATTTGTGAGGTCCTCTAAAACTGGCTCAGATGCACTAAAGATGCTCTTCCATGAGAGCTGCCACAACTTTCACTGTTAGAACCCCAAACCAAAATCTGTATTTGGATTGTATTATGGTACTAATGAGTCAACAAGGAGAGCCCTTACTGGACATCCAACTAGGAAAAAATGGCATCCTTATTGGAAATCCAAATAAGTCCAGATACATCTTAAGGATCGAACAGACTTTCAAAACTCAGCCACTGTTAGCAGCTCCTGCATTTCTTAGCCTAAGAGCTAGTTCCAGAAGTATGGAGAGCCCACTCCAGCCCTGGGTCTTTGTGCTGCTTGGAACACAGAAACCCCTAATCTCTAATCCTGCTAAGAATCTGGGTTTCCATCTTTTTGAACATTAGGAGAGGGGTTTAGGGCTTTTAACATTTCTCTTCCACACACCATCCCTTTCTTGCCTGGAAACTATGTCAGGTAAGATACATATCTTTTTAAGTGAGTTGAATGCCATGAGAGGGGAAATCTGCAGAGAGAAGAAAGGATGTGGCCATTCTAAGATTCATGCTTAAGAGTCCAAGAAACAGGATCATCTTCCTTAAATCCTGTCTCTGAAGTTCTTTGGGGCTCACACCTCTGTGCTCAACCAGGTAACCAAAGAGAAGGGGATGTGTGGCTCTGTCGAGGGAGAATTCCAAAGGGGCCACTTGGCTGGGAAAGTCACATGGCTTTGGCTCTTCTTTTAGGTGAGACAGGTGTCTCTGTTCAGGAGGCAAAACCTGGGATGCACTACCACATGGGAATTCTCTGCACTGCTCAGAGGAGAAGGTTGAAAGCTAATATAAATTTTTAAAAAATTCACAAAGAGTGAATACCAAAAGGGACATGTAGACTATTTAGAAAGTGGATGGAGCTGGGAATGAACTGATGAGTTTGAGTATTTGTGTACACACATGGACTGAATCACTGTTTCTGCATCAGGCTGTTCTGTAGGAATCTATATAATGTACATGTTCTTGCCCATGGGTCAATCAAATGATGGAAAAAGAGGGGGATGCAGGATGGGGGATAAAAGTCTAGTAAGTAACTGCAGTAATAATCACACACCTTTTAAACTTGTTACTACTGGTTTGCATCATTTTCATTTTACAACAAGAAGAGAAATTCCTCTCTCTTCCAAAAAGGTCTTAATTTCTACCTCTACTTACAATAAGTTACACGTTTATTTATTTAAATAATTGTAAAACATTTTAAAATTTTTCCCTTTTTTTGTTTTTTTGTTTTTTTGTTTTTTAAAGAGATTAAACTATAAGCAAACACACATACAACAACATTTCATCATTCAATTCAGGTTTTGTTTAAGAAAGTCTTCCATGCTGGTACCCTGTTTTGTTCAATTTTTTTTTCTGCATAAACTAAATTGGTATCTGAAAGGCTTCATAGAAAATAGAAACTTTCAACTTTTTTTTTTCCTACAAAGAAAAACAAATAGTATCCAAAATATTAAGCATGAATTGTTTGCCAATTTTTTTCTTAAATATTTTACAAACATAGGAAGGTGGTTCTCATAATGTTCATAACAAAGAATTGCATTTCTGCTCTTAGCACTGACTACGTCAATGACATCTTTTGTCCTTGTCCCCAAGAGGGTCAGTTTGTGTAGCCACCATGAGAGCTAGATGAGAAACGTGAGACCAGGTGAGATGCAGGTCCTTGCATACCCAAATCTGTCCGTCATGTTCATTCTGGGGCACAACTCTCCCCGAAGAGCTCCTAGTGCTTTCTTCATTATTGGTCCATCAGAGTAAGTAGTTTTGTGCTATCAGAAAGCAGTTCTTCCTCTTCTTTACATTGGGGGCACGACAAGCCCGGTCATGGCTGCAAGGAAAGAGAGGGATGGGAATGAGACTCAGAGATGCTTACGCTTGGGTTTCTAACCCAGAGAGGGGGGCAGGGGTGGGGACTGATAGAGTCTGGTACGATGCAGGGAGATGGTGCACTCCGCTGATGTGGAAACCCATTTTCTCCAGGTTTGGTCTAACACACAGCCTATGAGCGGCACAGAAGCCTTGTTACCAAGTCACTGCAATATAAACAGGCTGGTTGAAATTTTGTGGGGAGGCCAAGAGCTAGGTTTTGCCTTGTGTTATATTAATGGTTTGTATACTTGACATGATAGACACAAGCATACAAAAAACTATGTTTCAATGTATTTGCAACATATTTATTTTTCATCATTAGACTATCATAGTTTCTAGATTATATCTAGATTACATATTCTAGAACTATCTAGAAAACTCCAGGTGCCAAGCCTATCGAGTAACTTTCCAGGCATCATTTATAACATCATATATAACATTTATAACATTTATAACAAACAGGGCTTTCTATGATCCTAGGTTTCTATCAACTCTGGCTGAAATGTGGTGAGCTTCCCCCACAAACCCCAAGCTCATCTGCCTTTAGCGCTTACTGCTGGTATGTGATGCTTGTTCACTGATGAATACTGATCCACTGGAATAGAAGACTTTAATTTAGTTCCTAATTTGGGAGTCACCCAATCTCCACTCTTCACCCCTTCCATCCCCTAGTAGTGCCCAATGTTTCCTCCAGCTAGTGAAGACACAGATAATACTTGTGCGGGGTACTGGGTCCAAGGTTTCCCCTTGATGTGGGAAACAAAGCAGCATCAGCACAATGGGGAAAAATCACACAGCAAAATGCACCCCTCTGACCTTTCCTTTCAGGTGATGAACCAATAGAATTTTCACATTCTTGGAAATCACCAGAGTAGTTGCCTTGTGTCAAAACTTCAAGCCATATCTAGTATTTGATCCTTTGAGTTTTATTGTCTCTGGCTCATCTAGAGCTTATCATTGATCACAGAAGTATTTTGCTGAGTGGTGCTTACTAAACTGATAAGCAAATGGCCAAAATTCTTCCAGTTTGCCCCCAACACCACCCCTCTCCCCACCCACGTCCTCCCCTCTCCCCTCCCTCCTCCCCTTCTCTCCATGCCAGCTAGTCTTCTCAGGCAAAGCTGTCAGCTGTCTATTTCCCTGCCCATACAGCCTTTATTGAATGTTTGTGAGATCTGGATTAAGGTCTTACACGCCTAGCAAAGCCTTAATTATTTTTGCCTGTATTACTATATATTGAATCGATGTAACTTTTCAATAAAGGCAGTTCAATTTTGGACACTCCCTGATGATTTGGAGACATAGCAACCTTGGTAATTATCCCAGAGTGTAGGAGGGTTTTTTTTTTTTTTTTCTTTTCCTAGAGGGAGCTGGAAAATGAATCAGGCACATAGTGCATAATATTATCTTAACAATCTATACTCATCACTGCAAATGCCTGATAAATGAGGTAGAAGGTGGGACAGTGAACACTGCACGTAAGCTCTCTGGCAGTAGGATTCTGGCTCACGCTTTCAACTTGAACTTGTCTATTACACTTAAAACTCATCAGCCACTTCTTTTTTCTGGGTCCTCAGAGAGTTACCGAAGGAGCTCATTAAAAGGGCAGAATGCTCAAAGAAGAAGATCCAGTGCCATCTCTGTTATGTGGTGACCCTGACTTTCTGCTTGTAGAAACCATAGCCAACAGACAGAAAGCAGAAGTTAATTGGAAAAAAAGTAAGCTTGTGTACGGTGGTGGGGGGTGGGGAGTATGCAAACCTACACTTTGTCCAATTTCTTTCTGCCTTTGGCATTTCTTGAGAAGACAATAATCCCGCTTTGGTCCAGGTGGAAAGCAGGTATGGGTGAAGGGTGAGGAGAGGAACTGCACTATTCTTGTCCATGGTGAGACAGTGGGCTGTCATAGCACAGGCCCTGGAGTCGAAATGTCTGAAGTCATTTTACTGTGTGGCCTTGGGAAAACTACTTCACTAAAGATGATGAGGATGGTATGACCTTCCCCTTCCAGTCACATGTGAGGCTTGAGCAAGATAATTCATGTATAGCGCTTGTTCCAGGGTCTTGCTGAAAACCAGCCAGTCTCAGAGACGGCTGGTTGTATGTGGCCTCTGCGGATGACTGAGACCATCTCACCTTACAAGTCGAGAGCAGAACCTCTCCATCAGCCTGTGACACTCAAGCACCTCAGAACACACTTTGACTCTCCTACTGTCTGTCTCTAGAAAGGTGAAGCTTTGTGTTTATCACCCCTAGAATCCCAAGATTCCTTCACTCAGTGACCATGGCTAGAGCATTTGATGTCAACTCATTTTCTCCCTCTATGCATCCGTGGGACACTCTGTAGCATCAGACCTGGAACTTCTAGCCACCTGATGCAAAATGAGGAAACATGGGAGTCTGTATGCTGTTCTCCCCTTCCTCCTCACCCTCCTTACCCAGTCTTCCTTCTTCTTCTTAAGGTTCAGATCACCAGAGAAATTGAAAGGGAATTGTAGGATCTAAAATAGGCTTGGGGGGGGGGCACGTGGGTGGCTCAGTGGGTTAAGCCTCTCTCCCTTCGGCTCAGGTCATGATCTCAGGGTCCTGGGATCGAGCCACGCATTGGGCTCTCTGCTCCACAGGGAGACTGCTTCCTCCTCTTTCTCTCTCTCTGCCTGCCTCTCTACCTACTTGTGATCTCTGTCTGTCAAATAAATAAATAAAATCTTTTAAAAAAATTAAAAAATAAAAAATAAATTAAAAAGGCTTGGGACTTCTCAGTGTTCTATAGAAATGAGACTAGATCCCAGAGCCTACATGTAACTGATGACATTGTCACTCCCACAGACAAAGAACGGGTGGCTCAGCCACTTCCTCGGTCTAACTATTCTGACCTGTGCTGACCAGGAGCTCACATGGCTAAGGACCCTAGAGAGAGCCTTATTTTGGCTATTTCGGCTACTGCTACCCCCACAGAGAAACCTCACTATGACCACACAGATACTTCCAGCTCTTTGAGCCAACTCAACCCTAAGCAGGTAATACCACAGCAAGACTTGGGCATGCAGCAACAGGCAGGGTAGGGATTCGAGGCCATGGGAGCCAGTGAAAAATTGATCCTGGCCTACTGGGGGGGCCAAAGCCAAGCAAGCCCTATACGTGAGTCTCTCTGGACAGTACAGATCCAGAAGATCTGAGACAACCAGCTCAACTTCCCCAATGTGCGAGAGAGGAGGTAAGGGAGGGGCGGTAAGTGCCCTATGTTAAAGTTATACTTTTTCTCCTCAAAGTGAAGTTGAAAATATTGGCCAGGGCTGTCTGGAACAAGGAAAGGGCTGCATCTCTCCTGACTTCCACCTACACCTACACTCCCCCTTAGCCTTTCGTGGGGCTCCCACTCTGCATTTCCCCAATGAGACCTGTGGGGCCCCCACTTGGTTAAGGAATGGACTAAAACCACAGAACTTAGAAAGAGGAGATATTGTCACTGAAGTAGGCATGCAGAAGGGAAAAATAAAGCAAAAACTTAACAATTGCAAACAGTTATCAGTCTGGAGATAAAGCCATTCATAGAAAAAGTTCCAAGCATATCCCTGAAGGGTGAGATGGAAACCACTGGCCCTTGACGAGAGACAGGGCAGGTGGGCAACACAGCTACAGGCTGAACCTGTTTCCCTAGGGATCCGACATCTAGATGAAAATGAAATATATATATACCTATTTTTCCCTCTCACACAGACAGATGCTTCTGGCTGCTCATACACTGGGTGGCATGTTACCCAGCTGCTTTGTCTAGATGGAAGTAAGAGACTTTTCAGGGACTCTTCTGAGTGCTGGGTATCAGTTCCTATTTCATAGTTTCTGTGTCAAGTCACTTGATTTTGTGGAGACACCCCTGTCTTTTATGGTAGAATGAGACAGGAATCTACCATACCTCCCAGAGCTCTGCTCAGCCACAACTGGTGGATGAACCCTCACATGTGACCCAGAGGATCAGGAATCCATGCACAATCATAAAGCTACTAGACAGATGCTGTCCCAGGGATCACACAGCTCAAGCAAGGCTCTGCTGTCCTCAGAGGCTTTGAGTGGCAAGGGGTTAACCAACTTCTGCCCTGCTTGGTTTTATCCAACACTTGCTTGTCATGAATGTTTTCAGGTCAAGACATGAAGAACAGCCTAAAAATAATGTGGGTCGTCAGGATCCATAGTCTTCAACAGGTTCCAATTTGCTCTTTTCGTCTTCAGCTGCCTCCCATTCACAGTGAGATGATTAGATTCTCATGTATTCATCACACTTCTGTTATGTTACGTCATACTATATTTTCAGACATTGCTCAAAAATTGGTTTGATGGGCGATATTAATTTTTGTTCTTAGACAGTGTATGTCTTTTTTTTTCTTTCTTTCCTGCTCCACCCTGATCTGACACCTGCTATCAATCTGACTGGCATGGAACCAGAATTCTCACAATGTGCTGGTTGCTCCTGTCCATGTATACCATGGGAATAGGTATGCACTGCAGATGGGCAAGCCTATTAGGTAAGTAGCAGTCACCATGTGGTCTGCTGTGATCTGATGTGACCAGGCACCCTCTAGGAAATCGTGACATGGGCCTATGGAAAGCAAAGGTCTGGAATTCCAGACAGTCGTGGAAGATATATATGGCTCTATCATACTTAATTCTGTGACCTTGAAGAGCCGTCCGACTTCTCAGTTTTCCCCCTTCTTGTTCGCGGGTGGTGTAGTGGCTCAGTTGTACAAGCCTTCTGTGTCCCATGATGGAAACACTAAAGCATCTCTTTGTAGGTAAATGGCTAGAGATAGGGACTGATGCTGTGCTGTCTGCTCTTACTTTGTTGGTCCTGTGGCCCATTTATTATGGTGGTACCAAAGTGATATCTTTGCTTACCTCTGAATCCATTTCCATTTCCACTGGAGCAGGCAGGTGAAGGGGAGCCTTGTGGCCTGATGACAGGGGCAAAGGCACTCTTCTGTTTGACAGCAGGAAAAACTGAAGAGGAAAATGGGAGGATGGAGGACGTGCTAGAAGATCCAACAGTGGGACTTGATGACATGACTGGAAAGCAAAGGCACAATCCTCTTAGGAAAGGACAAACCTAGGAGTTAAATTCTGTCTTCAGGACCCATAACCTGTATACATTCATTGAGAAATTACTCATTCACTCCAGGCAGTATCCCAGATCCTAGGGATTATAACAAATTGAATGTGACAGCATCCCTGCCCTGCCCTGTGGGGGGAACATACAAACAAAACAATGACTAGGGTACAACCCTACTGGAGGAATGTACACAATGCTGGGGAGACTCAGCAGGCAGACTGTTCTTCTGCCAGGGAATCAGGAAGGCAGCAGCAGGAGGTAATACTCTGATAGGTCTTTGTTCATGAGTAGAAGCTTGACAGGAGAACATGGAGATCAACATCTGAAAAATCATCAAATCTACTGAAGAATGGAAACTTTTTTCACCCTAAAAAGAAGTCCTGTCTGGGAGCTCTGTGCTTCCCTGGCAATTCTCAGGGCTCCAGAGGTTTGATCTATGGGGTTAACATCTCTGAGAGTGCCATCTCTATGGGCCACTGCCTCATTAAATGTAAACATTTATTAACATCTAGATTACCTCCCTCTCTCTCTACTTTCAGAGCTCCTGGGAAATGAAGCTGCAAGTCAGACCCCTCTGATGTAATACGCAGAAAAAACACCAATATTAACAATAAAATTACTTAAAGGAAGCCAAAAGCTAAGTGTTGTAATTTCCAAGAAAAATAAAGGCGATTTCTACAATGAAATGCCCTACCTCTTAATGTCAGATACTCTACCAAGTTACATCATACAAGAAGATAATTTTATCTTCTATGTTCAGCTAGCTCAAGTAAGGGGTAAACTAGAGTTCACAAGGGTAAAATTGTCAGATACAGCATCTTGTGGAATAAGGTCAAGTTCCAGGGACTTATTTTAGCACAATCTCCAGAGTTCTGAGCTGTCACATGAGTTGGTACAAGAATTACTGGAACCTAATAGTCAAAGCCAGGAATGGAAACTTCTGGTTCATATCTCCAGTGACCCAGCTACTCCACAAAGTAAATTTTAAAAGTGAGGACATGAGAGTGACCTATGGTTCAAAGGCCAAGTACAAGGTGAATTGAAGGTCAGCTGTTCTGATGACCTGTATAAGATTCGGTCCCCATTTCTCCCCTCTCACTATAAAGATATATTTTGTGCTAGGTCACAGAATTGCATATATAAAGCAATCATACAGCATACTTCCAATATGATGTCTTATATAGACAAACCAAAGACTTCAAAAAAAGAGCTTTATCTAAAAACTGCTCATCCTTACATAGTCCTGATTTAAAGAGCTTGCAGAAGGAAGCATCCAAGCACATCTCTTTCTTTCCTCAAGTAACATGAATCAAAAGAATTGGAAAGGAGGATAAAGTCTTGGAAGAATCTCACATAATACTTGAAGATGAAAAAGAAGAAAAAATTGGGCTAATTCACTATCATAGAATAGGATACAGGGTTAAACATTGAGAATGGATTATAGTCACACTCTCAAGCAAAATCTCCTCTTTTCACATTGGCTTCAGCGTCAATGAAATGGGGTCGGGGACCTTTCCTCTTTGTGTAAGGCACAGAATTAGAGGCCAAAGAAAAGCTGAGACTCAGGAGGCCCTGATTCTGACTGCAGTCCAATCTCTGCTACCATGCTATGAACCATGAAGGCATCAAGATGGCGCCTTGGTTTCTGTGTCTGCAATAACACCACCTTCCCCCCTACACTATTACAGAGGAGGGTTTTTATAAGGTGAATTAAGCCTACATATACACACCTGATTCTGTTTATATTCAGCGCAGGACTCACTTTTACAAATATTTCTTTTCTAAATAACAGTCCTCAACCTAAAGTAGTTCCATTAGGTCAAATGTGGCTGCCTCAGTGGAAGAGTCACCTCAAACTTTACCAAGTGACATAAGACAACTGTTGCAGGGTTGAATAAGCACAGAGCTATAAAATGCCCATTTTAAAAAGGGGTGTATTGGGGCACCTGGGTGGCTCAGTGGGTTAAAGCCTCTGCCTTCGGCTCAGGTCATGGTCTCAGGGTCCTGGGATCGAGCCCCACATCGGGCTCTCTGCTCACAGGGAGCCTGCTTCCTCCTCTCTCTCTGCCTGCCTCTCTGACTACTTGTAATCTCTATCAAATAAATAAATAAAATCTTTAAAGAAAAAAAAAAGGGGGTGTATTTTTTTAGGATTTTATTCATTTATTTTATTTATTTTTTATTATTATTTTTTTAATGTTCCAAGATTCATTGTTTATGCACCACACCCAGTGCTCCATGCAATACGTGCCCTCCTTAATGCCCACCACCAGGCTCACCAACCCCCCACCCTCTCCCCTCCAAAACCCTCAGTTTGTTTCTCAGAGTCCACAGTCTCTCATGGTTCATCCCCCCTCGGATTTCCCCCAATTCACTTATCCTTTCCTTCTCCTAATGTCCCCCGTGTTTATTCCTTATGCTCCACAAGTAAGTAAACCACATGATAATTGAAAGAGCCAAGATGACCTTCAACAGATGAATGGATAAAGAAGATACGGTCTGTATATACAATAGAATATTATGCCTCCTTCAGAAAGGATGAATACCATTTAAAATAGTTTTTATGTAATTTTTGTAAAATGCTAAATTAACATCCAAATTATTTTAAAATTTAATGCCACTATATTCGAAATCCCAAAAGGAATTTTAATTTGTGTATTTCAACAAAAACAATTTCTATGTTTGTCTGTTTAAAAAGTGACAACACTGTAAGACCCAGAAAGTTTTGTGAATACTTCATAAGTACTAAGGAGGCATTTATCTTAACAGATATTAAAACTTAACGAAAAATTTAGATCAATGAAGTCAGTGTTATACTAACACAGAAACAGGCAGACAAATCCTTGGAGAAAAAAGAGGCCAGAAACAGACCTGGATATATATGAGAACTGAAACTTAATAAAGGCGACATTTCAAATTAATGGGGACATAAATGCATGGGAACAATACGCGAGTCCCCTGGAGACAGAAATTTAAAGTGATTCCTCATGTTAAACACTAAGGTAAATGTAAGTGGACTAATCAGTTATTTGCTAAAACAAAATTATGAAGGCACTAGTAGAAAAATTAGGAAGGTTATATAATTTACATAATTCTTTCAACCTCAAAGCCTAAGGAGAACATCACAAGACTGGTCACATGACAAAAAAAACTTCCATAACAGAGAGAAGGCAAATGACAGATTAGAAAAAATCTTCCTGATAATTATTTAGATATGTTCATATCCTTGATAACTGATAGGTTTCTTACAAATTAATTAGAAAAAAGAAAACATCCCAATTAGAAAAGTGGGCAAAGGAAAGGAAAAGCAAAGTCACCAAAGGAGACAGGAAGGAAAATGACCAAAAGGTCTTTACAGACCTGAAAACCTTCAAACTGCTAAATAATCAAATGCAAATTAAAACAGTAACAAGAGGATACTTACCACTTTACGAAATTGACAAAGATTAAGAAGAAATGAACAGGCCAGGGAAACAGATACTCTTCCTTTTCTAAGGGGAGCATTCATCTCTCTGGGGGGGAATTTGGCAATGTGTATTTAAAACCAAAGTGTTTTAAAATGTGCATATTTTTTAACCTAGTAATTTAATTTTGAGAAATTAATCCCAAGGAGATAATCATAAATTTGAAAAAAAAAATAGATTCAAGGACATTTTTATAATTGTGAGAAATTGGAAAAAAAAACGGGAGTGACTAAGCAACAGGGTAAAGTATATCCACTCTATAAAATAGAAAGCTATGCAAATTTTAAAGCTAATGTTGGAGAAGAATATTTGATGACTCAGAAAGATATGCCTCCTCAGATGAATAACGCAAATTATGTCATAACATGTACATCAAACCCAGGCTTATTTTTTAAGAAAACATACAAAATAAAAGTTTAGAAGGATGCGATATAATCCAAACTTTTAACAATGTTCTCTCTGGTCAATGGATTATGAATGCTCTTGAATTTACTCCTTTCACTTGTCCCTATTTTCAAAGTTTTCTGTAATGAACATGCATTACTTTTGATGTAGCAGAAACCAAAGCTGTTAAAATAAACAAGTGGAAAATCTCCTTTGGGGGGGGGTGTAAAAAAAATAATATAACCCTTAACAATAGGCACAACAGATTTCCTGTGTGTTAATGTTCCTCTTCGATTTAAGGCTTTACTACCTGCAAACCAGGTTGCCTTTTAACCTTTCTGCTAAAAAAAAAAAAACAAAAAAAAAAACAAAGAGACTAATAAATTCTCAAATTCCTGGGAAAAGCTTCTTGATTGCCGTGAACTTCGCAAAGCAAACATCACTTCTCATCTCTGTTCCCCAGTCTTAGGATACAAGTCTGCATCATTGACAGATTTTATGGAGCCTAGCTTCATATCTGTGACTTTGATAATTCTGCCACTTTTCTTCCATTCCCTCTTTCATTTATCTCATGGCAGAATCCCATTAGCTGTGCATCAGAGTAGACATTATAATTTCCAAAATGTATCCTTCTATGGCTGGAAGGCCATACTTTAAAAGTTAACAATGGTCATGCCTGCACAGAAATAAAGTGTGTCATTTTTCTTTCCTTTTTTATGTATACATGCTTCTTAAATTGTGCATAATGAGAATGTTACTATTGTAACAGGATTTTTTTCTTTTCTGGAGAAAAAGACAATAGCAATATGTCAAGATGTTAACAAGGTTGTTTTTTATGGTGGGAGTAGGCTTTCTTTTTGAAACTATTTCCATATGTTCTAAATTTTCTATAATCATCATTTAATACTCTACAATAGAAAATGTCTTGATATTTATTTTTGAAAATATAAAAATATTGAGCCCCAGGGCATAGTCTAAGACGATGTCAATGAAGTAGGACTCCCTGAACATAAGTTGGATTTCTGTATAGATTCTGTCCCAAACTTTGGAACCGCTTGATGGCGATTCTGCTTTGGAAGAAGTGGGCCCATGAGTGTTGCAAGCTTGTCGAGTAGACCATCTGTGGGGACACCAGAGCGCACCATTTTAGGAAAGCTGATCACAACTGAAAATTTCTCTGGACATCTCTCTCTCTCTATGGACAGAGGCCAAAGAAAAGGCGAGGACGTCTGGCCCCCAAATCTCTGTGAACATGGGGAGTTAAGGAAAAACCACTTTTCTTCTTATAAGGATTGACTGGCTTGCCGAGTCCCAGCTGGAACTCACCGGCCACCATATCCTCCTTTGCACTGAGCCATTGCATTTGTTGGCGCTAAGGGGTCTGTCAGCATTTCATTATAACCCCCTATTGTCAGGGGTTTAGAATTCAGCCATAAAAACTTGCACTGAGCTGGAACTTGGCACACACTGCTACCGCCAGGAAGTGAAGTTTGTATGTGAAATTGAAAAAACATCTGTTTGGCCATTTTTGAAGTCGTGTGAGAGCAAGAGCAATAAAGATGCAGGTTTCTGATACTCTGCATTGGCCGCAATGCGAATCAACTTGACTGAGAGGCTTGGCTTTATTTCTTCTGAACAACTCTGGCAAACGATTGACTGCTCCATGCCCTGGTCTGGCCGCATCAGACTCGTTTAAAAAAGACAACGAAAAATCGTAGAGTGGTGTTTTTTAGACACAAGCAACAGAATTGACAAAATGGTTTCCCCTGGGCTGTTTTTTGGTATTTCTCAGAGAAGTTAAGACTTAGCTGGCTAGAAATACAGGTCAGATGTTATTGTAATGAACTCCGTGGGGTATTCAGTATTTTTGCAGTAGGGGATTTTATCGTAATGCAGGCACTGTTTGGAATCCATTCCCAGTTTGCGACTTCTTCAGACCCTCCTTCAGAAAATAAAAGGTGCAGGAGATCAGAGGGACCCAGTAGGCACAAGGAGCGGGTTTGCTGTTGCGTTTCTCCCTCCCCTTGGGCAAGGGGGCCTCTTTCTATTTTGCATACACTGTCTTGTTTTAATGGGTAATTTAATGGGTGCTATCATTTTCCTTGTGGCAATGGAACTGGATGATCAAGAAAGGCTAGTGGAAGGAAGTTGTCACTTGCTAGAGCGGGAAGGTCCCTTTCCTACCAAAGGAATTACCTCGTAAGGAACCTCAAGCAGTTACCCAGTGGATGTCTTCATTTATGTCTTCATCCTCCCTCTGTGTCTGTCTGTCTCTCTCTCTCTCACCCCTACTCACCTAACCCCTCCCTGTCTTTCTTTTGCTCTCTCTCCCTCATCACCACACTATCCACTATATTATTATATTGGCCATTTTTGAGCTACAAAAAATGACGATCTATGTGGTTCAGCCTCATACACAGATGCTTGTTCATAAATGTACGTTGAACATGTAAAATTACCATTTGGAGAAACAAAACAAGTAATTCTATAGGGGTCAGCTTAATTGTATATTATAAATACATGAAATATTTCTTATATTATTGAATGATTTTAGAACATGGTCTTCTGAATCTGACCACCTATTTCTATTCCTATTTTTACTATTTATGAATTGTTAAGTCATGCTTATTCTTCATATCTTATAAGGGAAAATGATAGTAATAATTATGATTATAACATGGCATAAGGTGGTTCTGAGGAGGCAATTGGACTCAATATGTGAACATGCTTTCTAGGCTGCAAAGTGGAATGCATTTGAGGGTTACTCTTATTGTTGTCACCATCATTCTATCATATCCTTTCATAGTGGCTCCCCTGCCCTTGTGTCACTTGTTGAAGATGTGGTCCCTTCTGCACATGGGGTACCCTCTCTACAGTGATTCATGGGACAAGTCTCTCCAAGGTCTCAGCCACAGAAAAATCATGTTTCTCCTGTGCTACCCTACCCTCCACCCCAGCAAAACTGTGTGGACATAAAATCTGATAGCGAGGAGTGTTTCTCTCTCTGCTTTCCCATCTTGTAAGCCTCCAAACCAAGTTAATGGCTCCCTTGAATAGACTGAATAACGTCTGGACTAGACCTTGGATTCATCTGATTTTCCTCTCCATATTTTTTTCTTTTCTCTCAGTTTCTTATAGCTATTATTTTATACTTTCATAACACTCATCTCACTACTAGTATCTCCCAAAGTGTTTTGGAACAAGAGAAGGTAAAAATAAGTAAAGAAATAAATCAAGCCAGCACGAGCTTATTCACCAAGACCACTCAAGTCTAATTGATCTGGGCCATCCAACATGACACAACATAGAACTCACGTCTTGGCAGCAACAAGATTTTAGTTTTAGTAGAAGAACCAGCCTCTACTACCTCTGCTGTTTGGCCACTATGTCCTTAACACACTGAGTAGACTCGCAAGGATAATGAAGTGAATAGGGAACCCAGAAGTAACCCATGGTTGTGTGTCCCCAGGGAACCAACAAGGCTGCGGAAGCAGCCTCCAGACCCTTGGCATGTCACTCCCTGAGCTGCAGTGGAAATGGCTGTGTGATGTCCTTGACTCATGCTTGTTCCTGGCATAGGGGAACCACTACTCTGGGTGAAGACAGGGTCTGCTCTAGAGCCTTGCAACAGGAGCCAGCATTTCAAGAACATTCCACTCACTCACACACACCCTCCATGGTGGTTTCTCTCCTGGCCTGAAGTATTCTCTAGGTAGGTTTGAGGACACATATTCTCTCAGGCTTCTTAGTCCTCAAAGCACCCCAAATGAGTTTTCACAAACCCCTAGGACATCTAGCTAGCCCAGATTAGGATTGAGAAGTCCATCTCAGATCACTCTCTCATGAGCAGCTAAATTCCATCTCTTAGAAGGTACACAAGGAAGGGAGAGCCATGTAACAAAGTGACCCAAGAGTGTGGTATGACACACAAAATGACCAAGCCACAAATTGTGTTCAAATGATGGCTCTGCACTATCCTACTGGTGTGATCTTGGATGAGTAAACTGCTGTGCACCTCATCCCCCTCACCCACAACAAGGAGAAAGTTCTCATGAGGATGAAAGAAAAACCTCTGAAAGTGCCTAATGAAGAGCGTGTATAATAGTAACTGAAATGGAAACTTCATTCCCTGTTCCACACAAGCCACATACATCTACCCTCTCTTTGTATAAAGCAAATAGCTTCACTCCTTTTCTTCCCTTAAGAAGGTTTTAAGCAACTATGTATACCGAAGTCTAGCTAAGGGAAAAGAACAAAAAGCACGAAAGACATTTCCTTGGAAAATTGGGCTACTCCTCAAGAAGTCAGTAAGACATCGGTAGGGGTATAACTCTCCCTCAAAAGGCTGAAGAGTAAAACCCAGGGACAGAGACAAAGGGAGAGCCGGAAAGATGGAAAAGCCACTTACTTCCATAAGGGGAGCCTGTGGGGGAGCCGTTTAGAAATCCTGGTGACCCTGGGACGCCCAGGTTGGCCATGGGGACGTTGCTGTAGCCATTCATACTGTTACTGGAGGTGCTGTAGTTAGACTGCTGGGGGGTGGAGCTGGAAGAGTAGCCCCGCGGAGAGATGCTGCTTGTGTTGCGGATGTACCCTGGACAGCAAGGAAAAAGCCCAGATAAATGAAATGGCAGAGACCAAATATGGCGGCATGGGCCTACATGGTCCCCCTGACTATAGAGCACTCCAAGCCACCCCTGGGCAGGGGCAGAAGGTTTGCAGTTTGTCTTCAGCATTTATATCTTCCTTTCCCTTCCCCATCCTACACAAGGCCATGTCTCTGATGGTCCCTCCTTCCTCTTTGTTCCCATTTGCCGTCAACATTTCCAGCTCACACAAAGGAGTGATGACTAATCTTCCTAACACATGAGAGCCCTATGAGATCTTAATGACTATCACTGAGGCAAGCATTTTGTGATCAAGTAAAGCCTGGCAGATACTGTGTGCTATAGCCATTCCTTGAAGATTCGCATACATGGGTCCCAGAGAATAAATAAACCAGTTTAACTTTGCTAACCTAGTGTTTCCCAAATTTAGCACACCGCAGTATCTTTTCTGGGAATGGTGAGCAAGAGGCATCCTAGTAACATCTCAAAGGCCACTCGTAATCTGCAGATCATACCTTTAAAAAAGTTAGTTCAAGGCTATTACTATGCCCGAGTGGAAGTGGGGAACATCTTTATTTAAAAGTTGGTGCCAAGTTCATCTAAATGTGCTATTCTTTGACCAAAGACATGGAAGCATCAGCAATTGAGTATAGGGAGATCTGGTCTGTGGGAGGAATGGGGAAGGAACAAGTCCTCCCCATACTTCCAAAACCTTGGCACGGAGAGACCACCTAGCCCATCCTGAAATAACCCGCTTCAGGTAATAGTCCCTAAAGCTATTTTTTAAATGAGCTCAATTTGAAGGAAAAAAAAAAAAAAAGGCAATCATATATCTGCACCCACCCTGCTGTAAGAAAAACTCACCCTGGTCATGAGAATGAGGAATTCCCTTCCAGTGGATGAATGAAACTGGAAATACAACTATGCCAAAGTTAGGGACATCCTTAAGAAATTTATGATTTAATTTTTAAAAATGATAAAAAATGATTTGTGATCAACTTAGCCCCTTAGTAAAATCAACCTCAGTGACAAAAATCTTTATGCAATATACTTCAAGTGTGAAAAGCACAGACAACTGTAAAGTGTGCTGCTCTGCATTTGCAAATGAGATGATACACAAACAGAAGTCACTAAAGGAAACCAAACCACTCTGCCTCTACGGCTGGGAAGAGAGGGTCATGCATAACAAATGACGATGGCAATGACTCAGCTTCCTTCCACTGTCAAAGATGATAATCACAATAGCAGAAATGCCCATTTTCGTCAAACTACACCTGTAAGTCTAGTTTCAGGAAGTCAAAACCCTTTGAAGTTAATCACAGTTCATCTTAACCTTAAATATTTGCAATTAAAGGGTCCCAACTGGGCCCAAAATAGCCCCCCAATCTCACAAAACACCACCTATCATGTGGATGGTACTGCTTATCTGGGGACATGCTTCTTTGATGGTATATGAATCAAGCTTTACCTCCCTCTGCTTAAGCAAAACCAACCTTGTAAATGGATAGGATGTTTGGAATTTTGACTTGGAGAAAGGGTAGTACCTTGATTATTTCCCTGTGTTGACTCTGAGATGCTGACCCCAAGCTGGCTGCCATATGAATTGATGCCCATCATGCCACTGTGAGCCGGGGAGCTGGAGAGAGCTGGGATCTGGCTGGGATTCCTGGGGACGCTGTACAGGGCTTCCGCAATGTCTGCGGCTCGCTTCAGAATGATGTCCTGAAAAATGGCAGATGGAGGTGAACATTTTTATGCAGCACGAAGAGTCATACTCAACACTGTAAGATGGGAGCATCTAACCTGGTTATTGTGTGGGGTGCCATAGAGGGCCTCCACTAGATCTGCAGCTCTTTTCAATAGCATCTCCTAGGAAAAAAAGCAGAAGGGGTGAGGAAGAAGCAAAGGTAAAACCCACAAATGGCCAACTCAAAGGAAAATTATGTATAAAAACAAAAAGTCTAGACATCATCCCTAAAATATAAATAACTGGCTACGAGGTCCTATATTTGTTCTGACAGAATTTAAATGTACATATAAATCCCTCTCTGAATACATATGTACACAGAATCCATCTAGACAAAATGGTTCCATCCGTGATTGTGCCACCAAAATAAAAAATGACCAGATGAAAGATGGAGTTGGTTGAAATTACGAAGTCATGGAAGTGCCATTAAAAAGTTTCAGACCATTCCATTAAAGAATCTGGTACTCTAATTAACCAAAAATTCTTAGAATGATTGACTGACCTGAGTTTAGCTGCTTGCCAAGGAGTTGTTCATAATACTGAAATTATCTTGGCAGTGCCTTCTGCAAAATTTTATTCTAATAAAGATGAATTCTTTCAATAATATTTCCCCCTGTTCACTTTAACCAGAGAGAATTAGTAATCAGTAATCCCTTTCGTCTCATTTTGTCTTTTCCACCTCCTGTTTTTAACAGCCTTTTAAATTGCTATTAACCTACTTTCCAGATATCATCTAATTTAATGGTGGGGCTGGGGATTTTTCCAAGAGGAAAATGAAGGTGTGATGCAGAAGCAAATGTGGCACTTGAATTTTACTCACAGTACAGAAAAGAGAACATGGCATATGATAATGTGTGTGCTCAAAAGACAAATGTAGATGTTAAAATTTAATAACATCTCATTAATTGAATAGCTAATAAATTAATGTATTTTTCAATGACAAAAGCTAGAATGGGCCAGATTTATGATATGATTGTCATAAGCAAGTTCACTTAAAAGCAAAACATTTCATAGACATTTTCTATGGAGGCATTTTTTGCTTAATTTAATATCTATATACAGGGTAGTCCCTCGATGAATAAATGACTGTAGATTAATGTGTCCCTGCAATTATGGGTGAGTAAAATTATATTCAAATACAAAGGAGTGGGAACTTACATTTTTAAGCCATTATGTGATTATTTTCATAAAGTTGCCAATGTTTCATAAGATGGATACTTGTAGTGTATCTATTTCATAGGACCCAATTTTCAGATTTCCTATTCCCTTGGATATTAATCACACTATATCTCGGAGTTAGAAGATATTTTATGTGTACCTAAAGCTTAGCCAAATTTCAGGGCCTAATGTAATTTTAAAGGGACTTAATTTGCTGGATTTATCTAAGTTTGCTGAAATCCCATAATAAGGTTTTCACCTGTCAATTTCCAAAAAGTTTTTGTTTTTGTTTTTGTTTTTGTTTTTGTTTTTTTACCTTAGCTAATCTCTCCGGGTCTCCAGGATGCCTTGGGATGACCTTCTGGAGTCTCTGAAAGCCATAGTCTATGGTGGGTTCATTTAATGCTGAAAAAGAAAAATCCTCTTTTTGAGTATGTTTCATGGCCATAAACAAAGCCTCTAATTAAGTCTTCCACTGTCAATAGAAAGGTGCTGGTATTATCTGAGAATTGACACATAATGGATACAATTAGTTAAGGATAAAAGTGACATTGGTTAATTCACATTTATAAGTCTGGAATGCATAGTAGTTTAATATCTTTGCACTAGAATGATATTTCTAAACGTCAGGATGATTACACTTATTTTCTTATTTCTGCCCAAAGTGCACACAACTTAAAATTTTCTGCTCACTCTCAAATAATCAGAAATATTACACAATTAACCATATCCCAGTTTTTTATGAAGATAATAAACTACCCTTACATGTGTTTTCCTCCTTCCCCCTTCTCTTTCCCAAGTATACCTTTATCATCTATTCATTCTCCTAATTATCACTTTTTCTTATTCTCTCAAATATTTACATACATACATATACAAACCTTCTGTGAGTTTATTCTCATAAAGCCCTGTTCTTATGCATAGTACACTTTCAGAATTTGCAATTACCGTTTGCTCCATGAACATTCATTTGATGTCAGGCTCTACCATGGGCCGAAAGTGTCATAGAATAGGAAGCACACTTGCTTTGTGTTGTGGAAGACAGTGCTGGACACATAGGAGGTGCTTAGTGCTTAACGTCAGTAATTGTAAAATGAGGGAGGGAGGGCATGAATGAACGACTTAACTTAGCATTTCTACCGTTCTGAAGAGTTTTTGGAGTTGAGCCCCTTCTCCTTTCACCTTCCTCTCTTCCTCAACTTCTTTTTTTTTTTTTTAAGATTTTATTTATTTTTATTTGAGACAGAGATAGTGAGAGAGAGCACATGAGCAGTGGGGAGAGGGGAAGCAGGCTCCCCACTGAGCAGGGAGCCTGACTCAAGGCTCGATCCCAGGACTCTGGGATCTGAAGGCAGTCCCCCAACTGATTGAGCCACCCAGGTGCCCCTCTTCCTCGACTTCTTAAAAGTCTGTTGTTTAAATTTTATAGTTTCAAAGTTAATGCATAATCAAAGTAAAAGATGCAAAGGATAAAATAATAACCACCTGCACTCCCATTAGGCAGCAGTAAACACAGGAGGGTGTACTTCCTTTTTAATCTTCCTTTTTGCACATATGTTTTGTGAATATTTGTTGCTGTTATTCTAAGTATCAAAGCAACACCTTTTGTTTTAAAAGAATTATAAAAAAATTTAAATGTGGAAGTAAAAATACAATCATCCATAAGCTCACCATTTCAGAGATGATCTGGGTTAATATTTTTGCTTATATCTTTTCAGATTTAAACACATGCACATACTTAAAATTATTCAGAGACATCCTATTCACACCATTACATAACCTACTTTTTATCAATTTAACAGTATATCAAATTTTCCCCAGGTTATTAATTATTCTTTTATAACGTTATTTAAAATTCCTGAATATTTTTCCATGACATGGTCTATAATTTATTTAAATGGCTTCTTAATGTTTGGCATTTAACATGATCCTTAATTTCTCACTATTATAAAAATCAGAGCAATAATTATCCACCATGTATAGCCTTAATGATTTCAATTGGAAAACTCCAAGAATCAGAATTACTGGACCAAAAACTATATTTAAGGACTAACACACATCACGTTGAACACTTCTCAGAAGAATGTACAAATTCATACTCCCTCCAGCAATGCATGTGGTCACTTCTATTTGGTTATTAATCAGTGAGATTGAAGAGCTTCTTATACTAGCTGATCATTTTAATTTTTTCTTTTATGAACTACTCATTGATACTTTCTGCATTCTTCTATTAGGGGTTAGTCATTTTCTTTTTTTTTGAAAAACACTTTACATATTCATATTTTCAATGCTCTGGCACCATGTTACAATATCATATCCTAACATGTCCTTAGCTATTATATGTAGAAAGACCATCCCAATTCCATAGTAAGTACACATGTGTGTGCGTGCGTGTGTGCACACACACACATACACACACAATATGTGTGTGTATTTGCATATACACATACCAACATATATGAATTCCTCTCCTTTAGCTCTACCAGTAAAATGTGTACTGCTTATCATCTAGGTAATAAGTTTTTTATTTTTTATTTTGTTTTTTGCCATGTTTTTATCATCTTCATGTTTTACCATCTTTCTTGTAAATATGATTACTCCCTCATCACATTTTCTAAAAGTTTTACTAGTGCCTAGAAACCTTTTTGGTTTTTATATGTGTGTTCAGGCAGCTTGTGAGGGGAGTGGGTGGCTGAATATGGCAGTCGTTAAGAGAATCAGTTTTAGAGTCAAACAGATCTTGGGTTTGAATTCCAGCTCCACTATTAATTTCTCTAAGCTTATGTTTAAGATCCATTTCATGGGTCTGCTGTAAAAATTAAAAGGAACCACTTATAGAATGCCCCCAACATAGTTCTTGGCACAGAAAAGTTCTTAACCAATGGTAGCTATCTGTTATTTTGTAACCAACCCCCTGACAGATGTCATTAATTATTTCTGTTCATTCTTAGGATCATACGTTCACAGCATCTATGTATTTTATCTGTATATTAATTCCAATTAGTTCTTTTTTTTTCTTTTCAAAGATTTTATTTATTTATTTGATAGACAGAGATCACAAGTAGGCAGAGAGGCAGGCAGAGAGAGAAGAGGAGGAAGCAGGCTCCCTGCTGAGCAGAGAGCCCCATGTGGGGCTCAATCCCAAGACCCCGAGACCACGACCTGAGCCGAAGGCAGAGGCTCAACCCTCTGAGCCACCCAGGCGCCCCCAATTAGTTCTTTAATCCCACTCTTGTGTTGGCTAAAATGTCCCCCACTGTCTAAAAATGAGGATGATGGTGGATATCCTTGCTTGTTTTTCTCTGAATGGGAATGACGCTAACATTTTATCATCATATCTCTTGGCTAAAAGTTTGAAAGAACCCTGTGAAATTTCTCTTGTCAAAGTCACCAAAAACATTTTAGTCAAACCAAGAGGAAATTTTCCATTTTTTTTTTTTAAAGATCTATTTATTTGAGGCAGGGGGAATAGCGAAGAGCAGAGGGAGAGGGAGAGAGAGACAATCCCAAGCAGACTCTATTGAGTGTGGAGCCCGACTTGGGGCTCTATCCCATGACCCTGAGCTGAAACCAAGAGTCAGTCACTTATCCAATAGAATCACCCAGGTGCCCCAGAAATTTTCCATTCTTATCATAAATGTGAATTATGACACTGAAAATACTCTCCTGCTGGAAATGTATCCATCCATCATCTTTCCTAAATGTGCACTGCCCTGTTTCACACCTACCTCCCCAGCCATGCATCCCAGTCCACACTGAGGGCCGCTCGTCCTCCATCTTACAAACACTGCTGCTCCTCACACCTATTTGCCAAGCCGCTCTTCTCTCTGGTTATATGTTCTCCCTCATCAACCTCATCAGTGCCCCTATGATTTCCATGTCAAACTACATGTTAACTGTCACAAATCTTCATCTCTAGTCCAGATAGCTTGCTTGAGATTCTGCCTTATCTTTCCAAGTATTGGCTGGAAATTTCCCCCGGGATGGCCCATAGACTCCTCCCACCCAAGATACCCCAAGCTCACCCGACTTTGAGTGAATAGCCATCATCCATCAGATTGCCAATCAGAAACCTTAGGGTCATTCCTTATTTCTTAATATCATTTGTATTTTTCTAGAAAACTCACATACTTCAACAATATTTTAAATGTTCTAGCACAGATTCTACACAGATATCTAAAATTTCTAATCTACTTGTGGTTTTCCCCCTCCAAACCCTGTTTTTTGCAACTTTCTAAGTAATCATATTTCTAATTTTATCTTCCTTTTGTTCTGAAGAGAATATCCCAAAATTTTGAGATGCCTGGGTATTAGTTAGTTAGCTATTCTAGTTCATTGCATTGGATTCAAAAAGGTGTCCTTCCTCATATCTGTCTTTTGGAATTTATGTTTTTTATATATTAGTACAAATGAATTTTTTCTGTGTTCCATGGGTAATGCTTTAAATGCATTATGTAATGTATCTCTTTGACCCTATTATTTAACATATTGCTATTGCTACTCTAAATTTACCCTTCCACATTCTCTTTGTATCTTTGTATCTCTGTATCTTTGTATCTTTCTGATAGTTTTTAAAAATTTTTTTAAAGATTTTATTTATTTATTTGACAGAGATACAAGTAGGCAGAGAGGCAGGCAGAGAGAGAGGGGAAGCAGGCTTTCCGTGGAGCAGAGAGCCCTATGTGAGGCTCGATCCCAGGGTCCTGGGATCATGACCTGAGCCGAAGGCAGAGACTTTAAGCCACTGAACCACCCAGGTTCCCCCTGATAGTTTTTTAGTGAATATATTTTTCTCTAGTAAGGGGAAAGATACACATCCTACTTTAATTGAAAGTAGTACTTTCAGATTTTTCTAAAAATATTTCTAATTGTTTGAGTCTGATAAGCCCCTCCATATATAAGGAATTCTGCCCACCTTTCATTTCTGTACCTCACACTTTCCACTTTTACATTTTGGTCAGTCACTTTCTTCAGCTAATATTACTATCTTTAGATCTTCTATGATCTGTATCTTTTAGACTAATTTTCACATTTACATTAAGCTTTGCCATTACATTCACGATAATTGAGATACTCTAACTTAACTCCTTTTTCTCCTGCCCAGGAGTCCTGTGATACCATAACTTTCCCATTCTTGGGTTCTTCCCTGGCTCAGGCCTCCAGCAATCAGGTTCCATTGGTAAGAATAAGAGTTGAATCCTGTCCACACCCTTGAAATAAGAGAGTATCTTTGTCTTCCTCCCATGTAAATGACAGTGTCACTGTGTGCAGCATTGTTAGGAATACTCTTTCTATTCAAAATCGAATTTCTGCCTGTGTTCTCATTCTTACCCTGTGAGGTGGGGACAGAGGAGGCCTCGCAGGGAATAAGAGTCCAGCTTTCACACATGCTCCCACACAACTCT